AAGCAATTTCCACATCAAAAAATAAGTTTTTAGAAAATTCTACCCTTTAATCCCTTCCATGCCATTGGAATTTCAAATATTTCCGCCATTTGAATAAAAGGTTTTTTTTTAAAACCAGAATCCCCCATCTGTCCAGGATAATTTATATCCTTTGATTTAAAACCAAAACCACAATATATTAAATTTATTATTTATAAGCCATTTAATAGTTTCTACTCGTGCCTAAACGCACTTAAAGCTTAAAAATCTTTCCCTTTGGCTTGATGTGTGAATGTGCCTTAAGAAATGTTTATGTGTTCTTGGGGTTTTGACATATCTATGCATGTATGTTTGTTGACGATAACCCAAATGATTTATGATCCAAAACATATAAAAAACAAACAATTTGAGTTGATTTTTCCCCCCGTCCGTTGTGGATTTCTCAATGAAATCCCCAACGACCATAAACATAATCAAAATCAATACTCTCAATGAGCAAGAGGAACAAAAAAACACACTAAGATGTTATAAAAATTAAAGACGACTAATTTTTGGAATACTAATAAATAAATCATTCATGGTGTATCCAATGAGGGAGTTGAGGGGAGCCAACTATACGTCAACACCAGCGAAATGACAGTTTGGTTGGTTTTATTTCTGTTCTCCTTCCCTCTCTGTGAACTAAAAAAATCAAACTTCAAATTAATGATTGATTTCGTTTTTGTTTTGGTTCCCTGGCACCTTTTCTTAAAGATGTGTGTTCCCACTTCTTCTCTGTTCCCTGAGTTGCTTCACTAAATGTCTGCTTGTGTTTTCTGCTTGTGTCAATGTTTATTTGTGGCTATTGTTGTTGTTGCAGTTGTTTTTATCTCTCGAAAAAGACAAAAAATTACGTTTGTTGTTGTTGCTTACAGTTTTTGTATAATTTCTTCTTCAATTTATGAACCCCATTCGATTTAAATGTAAACTTAGTCACCCATCTACCTGGTATGTCAAACACACATACCATTTATTTTTTGTTGTATATGAGTGTGTGTGTGTGTGTGTACAGATGTGTGTATATTGCGGTATGTATGTTTGTTATGTGGTTATTCCATTAAGTCCATAAAATCTTTGGGATTGCAATTAACATTTATTGCCCTGGCATTATGTTTAATCCAAGTGGTCAATATTATGATGGCATGTGAATGAATGAGAGAATGAGAGACCGGGCGAGAGGTTTGATGAAATTTAAATCACAACAATACCAACAACATTTTGTCAATAGGTAACCTAATATTTATGATTTTAATTTGGAGAAAATTGTAAAAATTATGATTTTTATTTATATAATTTTTCAATGACAGCAAGCGTAATTAAAACGGATCTATATGAAATTTTTGCCACTCCTTCGGTATTACCTAAAAATAATGTTTTTCGAATCTAAATACAAAATTTAAGTTTCATCGTCAAGTTTTAATCGAAATGAAATTTCGGATTTTAATTGAAAAATATTAGTTATAAGCTTCAATTTTTCCACATAAAGAAAAGTGACGTTTTAAAAATGGCAACAGAGGATAAAATTGACTTTTACGTAGTCCAAAATAACATTTCTTTCCGACAAAGTAGACTAACTGAAGTTATGCGTTAAAATCAATTCGTTTCGTTTGAATGATTAAAAAATTCTTTACTGGGTACGCCTTCCAACTTCCATCGAATTCTAGCACAACCCTTTCACAGGGAGAAGGTCTAAGGCCAAATTCCATACTATAAGATTTCAATGGCTTTAAAATTGCGTCAGGGTATGAGATGTCTAATTTTGTACTTATTAAAATCAAACAAATAATATTCAGAATTTTCAGTTGTTCTTCTTGTACAAGATGAGGATTTCATCATATTTTGTGATATTTTCGAAATTCGGCCAGTAGATTCTTTGTGTAGAATTTTGGAAATGCAATACTTCGTGTTGGGCTTTCACCCACCTTACATATAAGCCTGAACATTTTGAAATACTTTTGTGGGTATGCGAAGTCTTTTTAATTTAATGCAGATAGGCATTCCTCCCACAATTCCCTGTTCGCAGATGAGAGGAAGATATAGCTTCTTTTTCTCATCCACAAATCAAGGATTTACACCTATTGCAGGTTTAATTCAAAACATTCTATTTAAAAACCGGGAATTTTTAATTCGAATTATTTTATTTGAAATTCAAATTATTCCATTAGTAAATCGAATAAATTTATTTGAAATTCGAAACAAAAAAATCGGAAAAATGTTAAACATCCTTACAGAAATTAAAAGAAAGAACCATAGAAGAGAGAGAGAAACAATTTTTTGCAGGCATTGAGATCTATCATTATTGATCAGGATATGATTGATATTAGCTTTGTTCGGCCATCTGCAAGAATCTACCATTTTTACAACCATTTACTGTCCCCGTACCAAAAAAAGTTAAAATTTGTAAAAACAGTAAAAATGTAAAAGTAAATTTGGCTGGGCTGAACCTTTCCGAGTATGGGGCATGGGGCTACAAAAAAAATCTCAACTAATATAGACTATGTTCTGATATCGGCAAAATCTTTTACGAACTATCAAACGATTTTAACAAAATCATAAAAATGCCGAATATCCGGAGATCAATACAAACTCTAAATACAAATACCATTCCGAATACCATCCAGAAATTTGGCTAATATCATCAAAATATCGGGAGATACCATTATCCTTTGTATCGGAAAACGTTGATCTTATCCCCACTTCCATAAAAAAATGTGGTTAAAATCATCAAAAATCCGAAAATTGTGGGGTACCGTTATTTGGGGCCTATACTTAAACGTTGACCTATATATTTTTAATATTTAGGGGTACTACAAACGTCTGAGCCCAATTTCATTCGTTCGTCTTAAATGTTGTGACCTCTATACTGCTTTTAGCAGATAGCGACTTAGAATTGTATGCTTATCGGGAATTTAGATAATTTAAGGTGTTTCCGACGATTACTTAATATACCCTCCATTTTTGGTGGAGGCTAAAATAAGAAAAAATAGCGATTTAAAAATATTTTGGAGTAAACAAAAAAGACATTATTGTCAAGGTAATTAGAATTAACTGATATATCAATATAGAACGGTTGGCAGAAAACAATAAAATTTTCGTAGGTTCCAGTTCCCTCACTTCCTGGGTATAGTAGTTCTCTTAAAGTGGTTTTATATATATAGACAATTAAAAAAGAGTCCATCAATTTGAAAGAACTTGACAAGTTAAAAAAATTGGAAAAAATACCATACGCTGTAGTACCGATTCCAAACTTCAAATACGAAATTTTAAACAATTCCGGAGAATAATATCGCTAATATCATCAAACTACCGAATATAGGGAGGTACCGTTATATGGGGTATAAACGAAGACTTGAGCCTGCATAAGTAATTTTCTGTCATAAGCTATAGTATTCATTGCGAACTTTAAATATCAAATTTTCAACAATTCCGTTGAATAATTTTGCCAATATCATCAAAATACCACATATTGGGAGGTACCGTTGGCCTATACCAAGTCGGACATAGTTTGAAATGCTCATTAAGATCTTCAAATACGAAATTTGAAACAATACCGGTCTATAATGTCGCTAAAATCATCAAAATACCGAATATTCACTTTAAATATCAAATTTTCAACAATTCCGTTGAATAATTTTGCCAATATCATCAAAATACCACATATTGGGAGGTACCGTTGGCCTATACCAAGTCGGACATAGTTTGAAATGCTCATTAAGATCTTCAAATACGAAATTTGAAACAATTCCGGTCTATAATGTCGCTAAAAGCATCAAAATACCGAATATTGGGAGGTACCGTTGTATGGGGTATATACGAAGACGTGGACCTGCTTACGCAATTTTTTGACATAGGCTGTAGTACAGATTAATATATTCAAATATAAATTTGAATCAATTCCGCTCTATAAAATCTATGATACCATTAAAATGTCGAAAATTCAGATGTACCGTTATATGGGGGTTATACGAAAACGTGGACCGACATGGCCCATCAACGAACTTAACCTGCCTACTGGCAAAATAAACATGTGTGCATTAAACATTTTAGCCTGCTATCTCAATTATTTCGAGTTACAGTACATCGAGGAGTTACAAACGGAGTGACAAAGTTAATATACCATCCACAGTTCGGTGGAGGATATAAAAAGGGAGGAAACACAGCGTGTATATTATTGCCTGACATGTTAAGTTTCTTAATTTTCAGTTTCAATATTTTATGGTTAAGGTAGTTCTCTCAGAGAGCATTTAAAAACATTCTGCTCTTCCCATCATTAAAAGTTATGCGAACAAAGCTAATAAATTTTAAACCCAATACAAAAGTCAGGGGAATCGAGTTAATGTAATAATTATTCAAATGGAAAAATTTGTCTTTGAGACGTAGGCGCCTCAAAAATTCCAAAAGTTGTTGGCAAAATATCATTGACAAATTTATATTTTTTGTTTATTTTCTGCTCCTTTGATCAGCAATATTTTCATCGTATCGTAATGTCAAAAATGTTTGGCTACTATTGTATTAAAAATGCTAGACACTGACGAAAATAATCTAACTAGCGTGTATAGGAAAGTAAAATACAATCCTGATTTTAGACAATTTTTTTTGTGGAAACGCCAACTAACTTGCGGAAAGGAGTCTTAAGGCTAATTTACACCGAACATGAGTCAATAAAACACATTATTTAGATTGTCAATTCCTTCGATAATAAATATCACACCTACGAGTAACGTGTAAGGAAGTCAATGTAAAGGTTTTAGTATTGTCATGAGAGGAGTTGCTATTCCCCATCCTGCGGGCATTGACAAAAAAAACTGCCCAGTTTAAACGGTGGCATACTTTGAAAAAGAAATTCAAAACAAGAATCTCATAAAATGCAAAATGTAACAACTAATAATTTTGAAAATAATAAATTTAAAAAATTATTCTTTTTTTTTTTGCTATAAAATTCAAACTCAATATTTGCAAAAGAATGCTGTTTCCAAACTCACCAGGTGCTGGCTGGGCCGGATATGTGGGTTTCTTCATCCAATCGTAGTACTGATGCGATTTTACCGGTGACGAACGATTGTTGTTGTTGTGATTTATGGTATTGTTGTTGTTATTATTGGCCGTCGATGGACTATGGTTATTATTCAAATGATGGGCTATGTGATTCGGCGATGATGATGAGGCTGGGGCTCCCGGACTGGATATTTCACTGCCACTAACGGTAATGGGCGGTGATGGCAATCCCTCGGTGATGTGATGATGAGCCTGTTGCTGGGCCTGCTGCTGTTGCTGTTGTTGCTGCTGCGGATGCTGGACATCGCCAATGCTGCTAACGGTCTCGTTCAATTGTGTCGTACTGCCAGACGCTGGACCTGCCGATGTTGTACTACTGGCACTGGCCGACGATGATGATGGTGTTGCACCGCCACCAACGACGGTACCATTTAGGAGCTGTTGATGTTGTTGGCTCAACAATTGGGAATTTTGTGAGAAATTCTCCGCCGACGAAGGGGAATGCCAATCCGAGGCGGCGGCCGCAGCAGCATTTGTGGCCGAATGATACATGGCATGAGGATTATAGTACATTTGATGATGGGCCGCAGCGGCATGTGTTGAATCCATATCGCTCAGATATTGATGATTGGGTGGCGTGTGATGATAATTGGCCGTCCATTGCCAGGGTTGTCCGGCGGAGTAGGCCAAATTGGCGCTGTGTTTTTGCGTATAGGGTAGGGTGTTGTAGAAGGAAACCATGGTGGTGATGGCGGTGTGGGTCACGCGGCTTGTTTTTCGAAGAAGAAGAAAATTTTGAGGTTAGAAATAGATTGTCACTGGGATGATTGGTGGCGAAGAACACTTGGTGTTTGGTATTATTTTATAATTTTTGTGGTTGTTGTTTGTTTTTTTTTTTTTTATTATTTACAATGTTTTACATTTTTTTCATTTTTCATTTGCAATAATTTCTATTTCTGTAACACTCAATTGTTTTTCATTTCTCCCTTTCGTCGTTTTTTTTTATTTTTCTTGTCTTGCACGCGTTGTTGTCTTGGTTTTGTTGCAAAATCTTTTAATGCTCTCTTCGTTTATTTTTTGTTATTATTGGATATTCTTCTTTGGGGGGATTTAAAGCCCGTTATTTGTCAATTTCTTTTTTGTTTATTAATTATTTGTCAGCTGTCATTCAATGACAGTTCACTAAACCTTGATTACTCTGTGAGCTATTGTCACAACACTTTGTTTGCCACTCTCCTTCTCTTAATGAGGAACTTCAACTTATGCTCAATTGAGAAAATGTTGATGTGTGAGCGTCGGAGTATTTGATTGATTGATTTATCGATTTATGCAAAATCGAGATATGAGACAATCCACTTTAATTATGAGATAATCCAAAAATGTTTTAACTGCTGTTTGTTGTTCTACTTTTCCACACAAATCGCTGTTGTTTTATTCTTTTTTGTTTTAATTAATAATTGCAATAATTTATTGCTAATTAGCTATATTGTAAATCTTCTTGTTGTTGTAGTTTTTTTTTTCGGTTAATTGTTGTATTATTAATTTTTATATTTTTATAATTTAACCGCCGTAAAATCTGCGTTGCGTTGATGTGATGAGAGGTTTTAAAGAAATAAAACTTTCTTTTGCCGTCGTTCTTGTCGTGGCTTGTCGGTCGTATGCCTTCACTTGTTTGCGTATCATAAAATACTGAATTGCTTGTGGCAGCACACGAACTAAACTGTGGCCTATCTGAGTTGGCTCGCTGGCAGTTAGATTTTGGCACTGTGTGTGAGTGATAGGGAAGAAAAGCCGATAAGCATTCAACTGCCGAACTTGCGTTTGAACCGTCTTCACCAACACGCTTGCACACACACACGCTTCGAAATGGTGGTAGTCGTTTGCGTCGTGCCGGTGGTGATAAAACCTCGTAAAATAAACCAAGCCAAATAGCAGGGCAATACAATTACAGCAACATCAATGGAACAGCGAGCGTTTGTTTTCCACCACCAAGCAAAACAACATGACAGGTAGAATTCTATCTCTTTCACTCGTGTACATCATATTCTCCCTCTCTTTCTTGCTCTAAGGCAATGGCATTTGTTTGGGGAGCTATTATCATCCAAAACACGCCCCTAACTTTGTCTCATATGCTAACAGCAAAATTCAAGATGGCCTTTGTTAATGGGGCGGCGTTTTTCTGTCTCTTTCTTGCATGTTAAGCAACTACTTCTTTTCCATCAAAAAGGAAATTATTAAAACTCCACCCCTTTTTTGGGGGAGAGTGTGGGGGTCGTTTTTAACAATGAACTTTTCAAGTCGCACACAATTCATGCCAGTAACTTTTTGACGTATTAGCCGTCATGGCGTTTGTTAACAATTTCGTTGCAGCAAACAACTAAAAATTACTGGATACCCACCTAGGTGCTCACCTCTTCTCTCTCCGTTTTTGGATATTTTTCAAACAAATGCAAAACCAATTGGCATTGTTTCATGATAACTTTTCCAAAAGCTTCACTTACAGAAGGGTTGATGGTATTAAAGGTTTGTTTTATCGTTTGTAACACCCACAGGCTCTTGGAACCGAAGTAACTATTTCAAGCCGGAATGAAGGTGCAGATACATTGAAGGTTTTTTACTGGCTCCTCCTTTGTTTTAGGTTGACTTAGTTCTACTTCAGGCTATAATCTATACTTGTTCACCCTAGGCTCTTGATGACTTAAGCCAGTAAGAAAACCTATCGACACCTTAAGAAAAATATGTAAGTCTTATGAAATGGGGAATTGCGCAGCATAACAAGACTTTAAATTATGACGAGAATATTAAAAAAGGAACGGAAAAGACGTTCTAAAAAATTACCTCGGGAGCAGTTTACATAAAAGTTTTCTGCTAATCATTGCGTTGTACACATGGGATAAGTGTACCAGTAGTCGGCACTTTTAGGATTTTTTTTTGTCTTTAATCTTTCACAGAATTGAAATTCCGTTTAGTTTTCAAAATAATAAGCAAAATTTGAATCACTTTGAATTACATTTGTAAAATTTGCAATTTTATTAAAATTGTGGTTTTTGCCAAAAGTCGGCAACACTTTCCAATTGTCGGCAGGATATGTTCCAATAGTTGGCATACCGACTAATTTGTAAGGGAAACCAGTAGAGAAACGTCAAAAGTTGGGCGCAGCCAACTTTATGATACCCTACACCACTATGCGTAGTTAACAGAGATTCCGTAACAAAAAAAGTTTATATATACATTTTAGGCTAATATTACTGATAAATCTGCAACAAAGTCAAACGCCATAGTTTTTACACTTTTTTTTATTAAACTTTATTGAATGAAAGCTAAAAAATCGGAAATAGCATCAAATTTTAGAATAAGTTTAGATTTGTTCGAATTGGTCACCTTTGGCACGAATTATGGCCTTCAAACGGCAAATGAAACCGTCAAACGCTGCCCAAATGTTGCTCTGCGGCATTTTGGCCCATTCCCGGCGAAGCGCTTGCTTGAGGTATTTTTTAGTACCAACCTTGCTTTCCAAAATACTCCAGACACAATAGTCCATCGGATTAGTATCCGGAGATTTTGGTGGCCATTGTGCGCTGGAAATGAAGCGAGGAACCTCATTTTGTTACCATACTTTGGTGGCGCGTGCTGAGTGCGATGGTGCTGAGTCCTGTTGGAATGTCCAAGGTCTGCGGCCAAAATGTTTGCGTGCCCAAGGCTTTAATACACCCTCCAGAATATTTTCGCGATAATATTCGGCATTTATTCTGATGCCACAGTCGATTGATACAAGCGGAGAGAGACCATGGCGGCCCACACCAACCGATCATTTTGTTTGTAAACAAGATCACTTTGTTTGTTTACAAACTGCTGGACAACGAATGTTTTCTCATCGGAGAAAACCAAATGCGACAGTTTACCACTTTCGGCCAAGCGAAGCAACTATTTAGCTCTTTAGAGTCTATTTTTTTTTTTTGCTGCGGTGTAAGTTCCTGCACTTTTTAAAATTTCAATGGCTCATTTTTCAATATTTGCCGAATGGAATATTGCGATATGTTCAGCTCACGAGCCATTTTTCAGCCACTGCGACGCGGGCTTCAAACAAGTCGCTTCTTTAATTTTCGAACCTTTTTCTGCTGATGTTGCTGTTTTCTTCCGTCCACTTCCGTGACGTCGGTACGAGACAAAATTTATTGACATTTAAATGCTGGAGTGCTCTAACGATAGCCACTTGTGGTTTTCCTGCCAAATATAAAGAAATCGCACTATCACGCTTGAATTGCATCACGAATAACTTTTTTCTGGAAAATTCTCACAAAAATGTACGCTTGTAAATAATATAATGAGCTGTCACTGGAATAATTTCAACAGCTGTCGGACGAATGGCTTAGATGACAGCAATCTGAAGTTGGTTGGAGTTTTTTCATCTCACTCTGTATATATTTTCACCAAATTTTCACCGCTTCAAGACTGAATTCGGTCGGAAGTGCCACAATTCACTGCACTTGGGTTGATATTAGCCATTTGGTGCACAATATATCTGAAATTAAATAAAGGTATATATGGGAGCTATATCTAAATCTGATGTCTGGTATCAAACATCATTTCTGTAGAGTGCATATTACGCATGTGAGGAACTTAAAAGCCAAATCGGATGATACATATATATGCGAGTTATAGCTTTATCTGAACGGATTTTTACCAAATTTTATGTATTTTTTTCTGCACTGAATTTGTTTGGATGTGCCAAAATTCAGGTGATTTGGACTGCTATTGGTCATTTGGTGCCCAATTAATCCGAAATCGGTCAAAGATATATATGGGAGCTATATTTAAATTTTGAACCGGTTCCCACAAATTTCATTGCGCCAAAAAAATGTTATTAATCGGATAATAAATGTGACCTGCATTTTGTTCACAAAAATACATGGACAGACGGTATGGTACCATTTTGGTATGGTACCCATACAACGGCTTCACCAACTTAATGGTTTTACTGGTATTTGTAGTTTAAAGTGGAACACGTTTGAATCCAGATGAATTTGTGAAAAAGTATGTTCATTACCCAATGGTGGAGGGTATCAAAAGTTCGACCCGGCCGAACTTAATGTTTTTTTACTTGTTTTTCAAATAAAATTTATTTTCATATCTGAAATATTTACGTATGACGATTGGCATATTTTACAAAAATAATAATTAATAGATTTTTTTGGGCTTCCTAGGAACATAAAAACAATTATATGTTCCATATCTTAGAGAGACGAATTTTATTTATCTTGTCTTAAGTTTAATCTTATAAAAAAAGAGATTCTAAACCCTTCATATTAAGGAAACGTTGTCGATGCTGTTAGTTCTTGGCTTTACTTGAAGTCAGTCTTTAAGAATCAAGTCCCAGAATAACCGGCTGAAAAAATGTTGGCAGAATCTTCATAATACCTGTTAGGGTAAGTGTACCAGTAGTCGGCACTTTTAGGCTTTTTAATATTTCAATCTTTCGACATTCTGAATGATATCTTTCAATTGTAGAAAAATAAAGTTGTTCAGATTCTATATTTTGTTTAGTTTTCGAAATAATAAACAACAATTGAACTTGTTTTTTATTAAATTGGCAAAATTTGCAATTTTACCAAAATAGTTGTTTTTTTACCAGTAGTCGGCACCATTTTCCAATGCTCGACATGTGTATTTGCCAGTAGTCGGCATATGCTATTTCATTAAAAAAATATTATTTTGTATATTTTTTTATTTCAAATAGTATAAAACAATGCTGTAATACTAATTCACAGTTTAATTAATTAATTTCGTTTTTAAATAGTGTGTTATTTAATTATCATTCCAAATCAAATATAGGTAGAAAATCAAGAATAGTATGGATTTTCAATTAAAATAAAAATGAGATTAAATAAAAAAGTACCTTTCTTATATTTGGAATTTGTAAATTGATCTTTTTCCTTTATATAACCAACATTTTTTCAAAATGCCACCGCTATCTAAAACGTCAAATAGCTGATTTAAAAAAAAAACCAACTTAATTGAGAAAAGTTGGTTAAAAAGCACAAATAAAAGCATCTGCCGACTCAAAACTATTTTTTTATGTGAGTAGTTTTTGGATTATTTTTTAATATTTTTCTCAAGTTTTGGTGAAATAGGTCAAAAATGATATTTTTCTAGTAATCGGCACCCCCTGCCGACTACTGACAAATCTCTTTTTTCTGTTCCTAATGTCGGCATTAAATAATATAAGAGGAAAATGCTTGATTATGTATGTTTTTTAAGTTATAAAATGATCTTTAGACTGTTATTTACTTTAATAAAATATTTCTGATTCCAAAAGTATTAAATTTAATTTACTTAAATCGATTATTAAGTTGACGCCACCACTAATTTTTTCTTTAAAAACAAGCACTATCGCACGCGTTGGAAGACACTCACTGACGAAAACCGTTATTCTCTCATAATAAATGCTCGGAGCTCATTGTTTTTTACAGAAAGAGAGCAGAGAACACTGTTGACGTTTTTTTTGCAATTATTATTCATTATTTGGTCAATTCTATTTTTAGTTATTTAAGTTTAAATTTCAAAACTGACGACTACTGGGACATGCCGAACTTAGGCGCACTTACCCTATATGCATTCTGTATAAAACGACATGTTTCGATGACAACTTTCTGTAATTAAATTTACGCCAATTCGACTGAAAATTCTGACTATCAATCTTTTGTCAGTGTTATAGAAAAACAAGTCGCTATATT